GTGGTGGTGTGTGTGTGTGCGTGGGTGTGTGCACGTGTGTGTGAATTAACTGTTTATACTGTGTAGTTACATGGGGGGCATAAGAGTTATACACAGGTTTTGAACTGCATGGAGAGGGTCCTGTGCCCCTAACCCCAGAGTTCTTGAAGGTAAAGTATATTATTATTATCACTACTGCTGCTGATGCTATTACTACTATTAATAGAAAACACAAGGCACAGTCTTTAACTGGTATTACATAACACGTATCAGGTAAATATCAGTGTAGTATGTATGCTGTTCCTAATATACTTATTTTTATCATTAAATGTGTTTTAGAATGGCTTCAAACTGTTTTATGCAGTATTTTTTGTGGGATGTGGTGGCACAGAAGCCTCTGTGCTGCAAGGTCAGAAGACTAGCAGTCATAAGATCGAATCCCCATGATGGAGTGAGCTCCCATCACCTGTCCCAGCTCCCACCAACCTAGCGGTTTGAAAGCATGCAAATGCAAGTAGATAAATAGGTACCACCATGGTGAGAAGGTAATGGCGTTCCGTGTCTGTTCACGCTGGCTACGTGACCACAGAAACTGTCTATGGACAAACGCTGGCTCTACGCCTTGGAGACACAGATGAGCACCGTGCCCTAGAGTCAGACATGACTGGACTAAATGTCAAAGGGAACCTTTACCTTTACCTTTACAATAGTTTTTAATTTGATAACTGCTTAGTTTTTAAATTATGATAATAATATATTGTTTTGTAGCTTTTCATATTTTTTGTTTTAATATCTTAAGTGACCTTGGGCCTTTTAGAGGTGAAAGATGGAGTCATATGGAAGGAGACAGCTGAGTAGTCAGCACTGCTGTTCCTCTAAATCCATATAACTCTGTGTACTTCCTGCTGTGGAGAAGACTAGAACAGCAGTCATCATGATGGCAACATTTCCCTGTGCCTTTGTTTGCCATAGAGCAAGCAGTTACAGGGAGAAAAAAGTATGTGTAAGAAGAGAAAGACGAATGAGCTATTTTGCCATCCCACCTTAGCAAGCAGATCTATTTAAAATGGCTTTCTCTTTCCTTGCGATTCATAAAGTATCTGCTAGCTAGTGCAGGTTGTCAGGAGAATGTTAAATTAGCACACACATCCTAGCTAGGCACAATTCCGAGAGAGTTTGGGTAACATAGGGAGCTGCCTTAACCTATGACAAATCATTGCTCTAACTAGCCTATTATTGCCAATGCTGACTGGCAAAAGATCAGCAGAGTTGCAGGCAGGACTCTTTTCTAGCTTTGCCTTAAGAATCTTGGTAGTTCGTGGCTGGTTGCCCATCTAAGTACTGACTAACTGGGATTTCCAAAATCAAACATGACCAGGTGTGTTCTAGGCAGGATGAGTGGAAACAACTAATTGTTTTCTAATTTAGCAAATATACAGAATATTTGCCTTAAGAATTTTCTCTCTCACTTACACATGCATTCCAAGTGTGCAAGGGTATCTCTAGCCAACACAGTTATTAGTAGTAGATTTTTCTCCCCAAATCCTGTAAACACCAAGTTGACCCTCTGTTTACACTGCTTCTGGACTAAAGCTAAATTTTCTTCTAGAATATGTTGCTGAGGCGTGGCATGATCATTCCATTGGAACCTGCTTTTGTCTTTTATCACTTCTTTATCCCTTTTGGGCTGGTTCTTTTAAAAGCCCTTTTAAAGAACAGTTTATGTTCTCTTACCCACTTTTACAAGTGCTCCATTTCTTCACAGACAGATGCTTGGAAAGTTAATTACTCCATTCTTTTACAGTGACCTTGACTGTATTTCATATCTGAAATAACTGGCACTTGGGGTTTTCTAATTTAGAAGCATAAAAGAGGTTGAAAGAGACAGGATTGGTACCTGATTCACTCTGTGAAAAGAGGCACTCATATTAAATTATGGGATGCAAAAGCTGGAACCAAAGATAACATTATTGGACTTTGGTATTAAATATGATTAATGAGGCAACAGGAATATCATTTGGGTTGCCTCAGGTATATATTTTATTTATTTTTCTGACAAGCATTCCAGAGTGTTGCAAAACTAAGTGGTATTATGTATGTTGGTAGGGTGGTTTTTTTAAAAGGTAGGATTGTAAATTTGATTTTTGTGCATTCTTATACTTAGCTTCTCATATCTTCCAATATCAGCTGTGACAAATTTGTCAGGAATGGCAGCAGGTCCCATTTCCACCTGTCTTGCGATGGCACATTCCTTATTATTCAAGAGATTATGGGATATTCTTAAATTAGGAAATCTCATTTAAGAGGCAGGAGAGCAACTGCTTGCACATGTGCCTGCCGCTAAACAAATACAAAAATACTGAACAGGCGCAAAGCAGATGGGCAGAATTTTGTTGTGTGCATTTACCCACGTATTTGAGAGCCATCTGAATGTTGCAATGAACTAGAACAAGGTGCGCCGCCAGATTCCTCCCTTCATCTCTATTCTTCTTTCCAGGGATGGGGACTTGAGTCACAAGACTCACTTATCAGGTCAGACTTAAGTCTCACTGGTGACTTGACTCAGACTCAATTCAGGTGGGTGGTTTTTTTTTTTTCCCAATGACTCGGACTTGACTCAGAACCCACCCTCCTCCTTTTTTCTGGGGAAAACGTCTTGTTTTTTTTATAGGGGCCCAGACTTGTGGCTTGGGATTTGGTACCAAGGACTTGGACTTGGGACTTGGTACCAAAGTCTTGGATTTGGACTTGGGATTCAGACCCAAAGACCTGACCTACATCCCTGCTTCTTTCTCATTCCATGAAAAAGACACATAGCTCTCTAAACAGTAAGAGCGTTCAGATATCTCTAGGTGAAATGTTTCCTAGTGGCTGATGCCCACAGACTGCATCGTTTAGTACTGTGAACCTAGGAAAAGGCCATGTAATCATGGTTCATTCCAACAAGATCCAAGGACATCTTTGCAGTTCTAAGATTATTGCTATGTTTTATTTACCCAGATCCTCCTCTGTGGTTTCCAGTTCAAGTGAGATGTACAACCCATGCTTCACAATAACAATTCAGTGAATGAAGAAATCCTTTCATCAAAATGAGAGGCTGGCACCTCACCATCCTTCAGCATCAGGCTCTGTGATGTTCACCTTCTCAGGTATCAGTATGTTTTTCTACCATTTTGGATTCCAGGAGGGTTGCTTTCTCTAACTTTTCTAGCCTAACAAATGAAATTATAAATGACTGTAATGGATCTAAATTCTGTTTCACAAATGCTGATCCCCTGCATTTAAAATACTGCTAATGGAAAATTCCTGTTTAAGTAGAATTAGATGTTTGGCTTCAGTGCAAAAGGTAAAACACAAATGTTCTTCTTTTTTCTTGATAGCCTCACAGATGCTCCTAGAAGTATAATGTTCTGTGACAGTTCCAACTGTTGCTGGAACGCTTCTTTAGCCAAGCGCTACGTACAAGGGTATGCCATCAGGTGTAAGGAAAAGCATTTTAATCAGATTGTTACATGAAACAAGATAGCAAGGGAAAAGGGAGAAACAGGGGCTTGGGAAGGTGAGACTTTTCAGGCCAGAATGAACAAATCAGATGCAGTTACAGTTCTAACCAGAATCATGCAGGTACTTGACATTTTGTGAGCTAAACAGGCAAAAAGAACCAAGGGCTTGGATAGCCAAGCAAGAATTATTCATCAAGAAAACTAATAAATTCAGACAAACCATTTTTTGCTCCTCAGAAACAAAGATATAAAGGGCTGCTGTAAAAGATTACAGCAGGACTACTGTGTGATTCAGCACCCTATTTCAAATCAAAACAAATGCAAGAGCAGGCAATGCCTTTATTAGACCTCTAAAAAAATCGAGCAAACCACAACAGCTAGCTTTCTTTTTCTTTTTAAAATTTTTTTATTCATTTTCCATTGCGTAAGGGAAGATCATCGGGAAGGGGATTTGGATCAGAGTAGTGGGTTAAATAAAAATACAGAATGTGATAGAGAACAATAGATATCATTATTACTTTTATCAATATGTTTCTTACTAAACTTACTTCACACTTGTCTTACCATTTTTTTCTAAGCCTTTAAAATCTAAAATTATATCTTACATTTTCTTTCTCATAATTTTAATCCTTTCATATTCTCATCACTCACCCAGTTATACAAAGGTTCCCATTTTTTCCTCTCCTCAGCAATTTCTTTGTTTTTCAATATTTCAGTTAAAATGTCCATCTCTACTGCTTCAATAATTTTTTCTATTAACTCCGGGATTGTTGGAGTCTCCTCTTTTTTTCGAGTATTTGACATATAAAATTCTTGCTGCTGTAGTTACATGTATGATCAAATATCTTTTTTTTCTATCGAGTCTGGTATTATATTTAACAAAAACAGTTCAGATTCATATGGAATTATACAGGATCACATTTTTTTGTAAAAACTCATGGACTAGTTTCCAAAAGCTCTTACCCTCCCTACAAGTCCACCACATATGACAGAAGCTACCTTCTTTTGATTTGCATTCCCAACATTTGTTGGAGCTGCTTTGATATATTTTCAATAATTTTTCAGGAGTCATATACCAGCTATAGAACATCTTATATGTATTTTCTTTCTAATGAATTGCTTTTGGTAGCTTAATATTACCTTCCCATATTTGTGATCATGACCTAAAGTTCATATTATGGCCCACATTTTGGGCCCATTTTTTCATACATTAATTATTTCATCCAGTGTTTTTAATTCTAGTAGATAATTATACATCATTTCAATCAGTTTTTCCTTTAAATTCAGAAATATCTTATCCAATGATGTCTGTTCCTTACAAAATCCTACTGCTTTATCTCTTGTATATCTGGAATCTATTTGTATTTTTGTCCACCAATCAAGTATTGTACCTTGTTCATCTAGCTCTTCCCTTGATTTCATACTTAAGTCCTCTTTTAACAAATCTCTATATCTCAAGAGTTTCTTCTTTTCCATTAATGTTGGCTGTGCAAATGCTTCCATTGGTGAGACCCACTCAGGAACTTTATGATAATTTTCTTCCTGGATCTTGGTCCTTACCCAGTTTAAAGCTTTCCTTATCAGATGGTTTTTAAATTGTTTATTATCTTTTGCTTTTTTATACCATAGGAAGGCATGCCATCCTAGATTTAAATCATGTCCTTCTAGTTTTAATATTCTGTCATTTTCTAAAACTATCCATTTCTTTATCCAAACTAGAGCACAGGCTTTATAACATAAAAACCAAAACCAATCTGTTTTGCATCTTGGAAGTGCTTTGATTTTTATTCTAGGTTTTTTCCCTTGCGTAAATTCTTGAGGTATTAATTGTTTTGTCAGGACTGGTTTTGTCTGAAAAAGAAATATCATCTTAGGTAATATATTCATCTTCACATCTTCAATCCTCCCCATAAATGATAATTGCAAATTTGACCATTTTTCCATATATTTTCCAATCAGACCAATTAGTTTGATGTAGTTGCCTTTTAATCAAGGTACTTGGTTTTTTTTGGGGGGGGGGGAATTTGAATTCCTAGATATTGAACTTTTTTCTTCTCTTTAAAACTTGTCATTTCTACTAAATTTTGGATCTTACCACAAACATCTAGCTTTCGGTCATAATTCATTTTCCTCAGGCTGTACTTCAAGATCTTATAGGTACTTTAGAAAATTGTACATTCGAGTCCCAAAGTTTCATGACATTCAGACCAGATTAGCTTCTTAAAATGGGTACAAGTTGCAGTCTGCAAAAGGCATGTGCAGGGAGGGTATTGTTTCAAACTCTTCCTCAGTTTGGAATTTATCACCCAACTCTTTAAACAAAGGACCGCCAAGCACTCTGCAGCCCCCCCTCCATTCACCTTCTTTTGAAACTATTGGGCTGGGGGAAAAAGGCATCACAGCAGCATGGCAAGCCCCCATCAGAGAGTTGGGATTAAAATTTAAAAGATCAATATTTGCATGAATGAGCATATGTATCTTTTTGCGAAAGGATCCCTATTGTGCTCACTTGGATACATCCCCCCTTTAAATTTGGTGTCTATGATATTTGTTTTTGGAAATTATTTCCTTTCAGGGAAATCTTGCATTATTTAAAGAGGTGCAAATGTATAGCAGAGGTATGGGGATGATTTGAATAGAAGGCGAGCCTTTTTTGTAGTTTCTGTGCCTGCTTGTGTGTTTGGGTTTGGGGGTTTTTGCCTGATTTTACATGGTAATACATGCTGAACATTATATTCTTCATGTTTTGTTTCAGTTGACACCATGAAGAATTCAGGCAGGATATGCACATAATTATATAATTTTTTAAAAAAAGTTATAACTTGCCATGTATAGCAGAGCTACACTGGTAACACTGTTGCAGGAGATATTTAAAAAGACAGTGATGGGATACAATAATAAGAGCAGTAGCACTGATGAATGTTGTTAAGTTCTACAAGGTACCTAGCCTAACCAACACATACTGCCAATACTTTGGTTGGACTGCACCTCAGTCCAAGGAAAAGAACACATCGTGTGTATGGAAATGATCTTAGCTTCACCCTTGCTATCCCCAGGAAGACTTAAGAATAGGAAAGACTCCTGTCTGAAATCTTGGACAGCTGTTGCCCATCAGGATAGTCTGAGGTAGGCAATCTGCGGTCCTTCAGATATGGTTGAGCTACATCTGCTGTCAGCCCTAGGCAGTGATGATCTTGAATGGGAGATGAAGCCTGACAATGTCCGGAGTGTCACAAATTGTCCACCCCTTAGTGTCATCTCTACTGAGCTAGATGGATCAGTGGTCTGACTTGGTCTAAGGATGCTCCCTCTCTCCCTGTAACCCAAAGGTGGGCCACCTGTAGCTGTGCCCAGCATAGACAATGGTGGGGGCTAATTGGAGAGCAACATATGAAGGCCTGCTGGTTGCCCCCGCCACCCCTGCTTCTCAAATTCCACAGTTTAACATTAAATCCAAGTCAGTTGAAATCATATTTGGTTGGTCTGGGTTTTTCAGGCTCTTTGGCCGTGTTCTGAAGGTTGTTCTTCCTGATGTTTCGCCAGTCTCTGTGGCCAGCACAGGTTGCTGTCCTCTGAAGATGCCGGCCACAGAGACTGGCAAAACGTCAGGAAAAACAACCTTCAGAACATGGCCAAAGAGCCCGAAAAACCCAGAACAACCATTAGATCCCAGCCATGAAAGCCTTCGTGAATATATTGAAATCATATTTGTTTTGTTTTTCCCATGTCAAATTGGTAAGGAGCTGTTAACAGTCAGAGGGAGAGCATTAGAGCCTGTTTCAATTCACAAATAAATTTACAGTTCAGTGTTATACCTGTTCGTTTTCTCACATTGTTTATTTTCAACATAAATACGTTATTCTTAAATGTGAGTGTGAAACTCCAAACAAGAGTGGTAACAGGATTCAGATCCATAATGGTGACATAATTGGTACCCTGGCTTCAATTTTAGCAATATTAATCAAGTAAGTTGTGGTAGCAACACGAAAGTAGCTTTTGCTGACAGTGTCTTGAAGCTACTGCCATGCAAACATGTTGCCCATCCAAATAACCATATTAAGATGTGTACAGATGTGAAAAGACCCTCTGCAGGGAAAACATGTGCCTTCTAGATATTCCTGGAACTCAGATGTACGTCTTTTCTGGTAAATGGGCTAAAACTCATTGGACAAGCAAGCAGTAGATATGAGTAACCTTTTGCACTCAATTTTGAAAGTATCTGTGCATTGTCTGTGACAAACTTAAAAGACAACAGTCCATTTTTGTGGATTATCCTAAGACATTGGGGCCAGAAAAGCCATGACAGCAGGATTGGCTTACCTTGGAATGCTATAATAGTTGCAGCTGTTTTCTTTTATAGATAGGTAGAATTGTATGTACTGTGTACACACACATATGTAAATGTAGATGTACTCTAGTTGTAAATGCAAATATATTAAATTAATATACCTATATGTGTGTGTATAAACACGCGTGTGTGTAGGGTGTGTGTGTATGTGTATGTGTATGTGTCTGCACACACACACACACACACACAGGAAATTTTTCCAGAATACTGATAATTTTATTCAGGTGTCAGTGGTCACCTATAGTAATTGCATATGCATCTTGATCCTATATCAGAGGTAATGCTGTCCTTCTGCAAA